GAGGTTCTGTTTTTGTTTTCACAGGAAATGAGGGCTGTGGATTTGTTCTGAGTTAAGAAAAATAAAGTTTGATCAAGGAAGATCCCCCCGCTGAAAAACCTCAGGTAGGAGGTGGTGGCTCAGATGAGTCAATGTTTTAGAGGACCTCTGTTGTAATTTCCTCTAAGTTCTACATCCAGAACAGCCTCAAGACTGTTGACTGAGATGATCCAGTCTCACAGAATACTTCAGTCAGGACTTGAGTACAATCCAAAATTTTCTTTGGGTTTCCATAAGATTTTCAGTGCCCCCAATGAGCAGAAAGTACATCCACATTACCCAAAAAGTGGATCACGGGCTTCCAAGTTGTTATGAATAATGGTCAGGAAAAAATCTGAACCTTAAAGGAGATTAGATTTGGGGTCTTGTTTTTAAAAGATATACACCTCTGCATGTTTGTTTTTGGACTGAATAATTGCGGAACTTGCGCCTACAAGCTCCACTTTTAACTTCGGGGTGGCGTATCATGCAGCAGGTGGGAGCTGCACAGAACAAACAGGCAGAAGAAAGCAGATTTCCGCTCTGTCTTTCCTGGGACAGACATACTCTTCCTCTATCCTTAGGTCAGAACTCTGCTGGCTTCTAGATTATGAAGCGTGGACTTGTGTTTCAAGGTCCTCGTGGGTCTCACCTCAGACTGAGACTCAAGCAAGTGGCTTCCTTGGTTTGTGCCTTTCAGACATGGACTGAGCCAAACTACCAGTATTCCAAAGCCTACATCTTGTAGAAAGTCTGTGGTGGGAAGGCTCTGACATGTAGGCCAATCCCTTAAGACCTATGAGGTCATGAGAAACTTCACATGGATATCAAAGAATGTTGCAGACCGCCTGGGCACACAGAGAATTGCCACAAGGACAGAGTTTCACAGAAGAGTCCCCTCTATGGCAGTACTGTAAGACTGGGGCAGCCTCTTGAGACCTTGAGACCCTGGAACTACAGGGCAATCAGTGTGCACCCATAGTCTGGGACAACTATGTGCTCAAGACTCCAGCTGTGAGAGCAATCACTGGACTGAGCACAGCAAAGCCATAGCGACAGGGTTCTTGACTTAGCTAGGACCACTTACCCCATTCCTGCTTCTTTCTCCCTTCTAAAATGAAACTGGGCTCCTGAACCTCCATTGTATTTGCATGTGGATTGTGGCTGAACAGGTCTGTTGTTAGGAGGTTTCTGTTCTACCTGGTTCCTGCAGTCCTTAGGTCCCAAAGAAAATCACACATAGGTCTACATAAGTTATAAACTGATTGCCCATTAGCTCAGGCTTCATATTAGCTCCTATAACTTATATTAGCCTATTATTCTAGTATACGTTAGGCACATGGCTCAGTAACTTTCTCATTGGGGCAAATCACAGCCTGCTTCTTTGGTTTCTGAACAGGACTGCGGGAAGAACTTGCTTCTTCCCAGAATACTCCTGTTCTCATTGTGCCACCTCTACTTCCTGTCGGGTTGTCCCACCTATACATCCTGCCTGGTTACTGGCCAATCAGGATTTATCAAAATATAATTGACAGAATGTAGACCATTGTCACACACCACAGGTCCACAGCTGGGGAAGGCTGACTGTCTCACTGGTGTCTTATTGAGACAGAAAATTGCAATTTGAAGATCTTCCTCATTAAGAAGAGGTTTTGACTCATGCTAGGTAAGACAAGGATCAGCCAGTACTTTAAGATCTTCCAAAAAGCCAGGCCTGGTGATGCACATGTGGAATTTCAGCATTTTAAGCTAACAAAGCAGGATCTCAAGTCAAGTCTATTCAGGCTACAAAGCTAGACGGTACAAATTAACTGAGATAATTTGAGGATTTTTTTTCTGAGACTTTTAGGAATTCCCCCCACCCTCCCTCCATTCTTTTTTTCTTTCTTCCTCCCTCCTTCCCTCCCTCTCTCCTTTCCTCCCTTCCTTTTTAACTTTGTATCAGATATCGGAAGACAGACTAAAGAATCTGGCCTTTTGGTCAGTCTCTTCGGTGCTACTGTGTCTGCTCAGCTGTACTGTCAGAATCCAGAGCTTCTCCTGTCGCCACACCCCCATACCTTAAGAGAACCTTGTATGTAGAGGTGGGAACTCTACCCGTTGTTCATGTGCTTTCTGGTGGTTCCATCTCAGTCACTACTAGCCCTTCATCCATGGAGTCATCGTCTCCCTGGCCCTACTTGAGAATTTCTGGAGAATTTTCAAAAGGGCTGAGAACACAATCTCCTGCAACTGAAGTTCTCTTGAATTTGAATCTCTTCTTCATGTGACAAGATTATCTGAGAGTCCATCTTTCTGAGAATAACATTGTAGAAAAACACATCTCTTATGAGAGGAGATGATTTCAGTAGATACTAACTTATAATTGTTCAAATCTCTACAGAACCCTTAAAAGGCGAGGAGCTGACTTCCAGCAACTTTTCAGCAAACTGACCTGGCTTAAGTTAAACACCATTTTTACACGACAGTCAGGGGGGCAGGACACGCAAACACAGCACTCGTCACACGAGGTTCTGTTACCACGGCAGAGTAAATGGGATCCTGTCAGTAAGAGACTGAGGACACAGACAAGGGGCACAGCATTCCCTGTGGTGCTCGGGGCTCCAGACTTCAGACACCTGTCCACCAGCACTGCCTTACCCTACCAGTGAGCTCCAGTCTCACTCCTGTGTGGCTGACCCGGATGCAATGGGGACCACTTCTACACAAGTCTTTTCCAAGTCAGGAGCTTGTGGTGACTTACCTGGTCTTGTAAGCATCACACATTTCCCAGGTTGAGTGGCTAATGTCATTGTGCTTGGGGCTAAGTCCTTAGAGACATCTTCTAGTCCACACAGTGGGAATGGATTTGCAAGTCCGGTTCCCACTGAAGCAGTCTTTGTAGATGATCATGCCGCACCAGAGCCCACCTCCCCACTGTGATTTTCTTCATTGCCAATCACAGTACTAACCAGGGAGCAGGAACTGAAGCTGAATCCATAGAAAGGGGCTGCTTACTGTAGTGCTTCCCATGGTTTGCTCAGACTGTTTTCTTATACACCCCAGTACCGTCTGCCTAGGGGTGTCACTGGTCACAGTGGGCTAGGCTTTCCCACTTCAAACATGGTTCAAGGAAATGTTCCACAGACTTACCTGCAGGCCAGTCTTATGGAGGAATTTTCTCAGTTAAGATTACTTCTTCCTAGATATGTCTAGGTGTTGAGTTGATAAAAACTAATCAGGACAAAGATGAATTTATTTTTTAAATATTAATGCCATGCTTGAATATCATCATGCTAGCAGGAATTTGTATTTTTGGGCATTGGGTACATATCAACAAATTTCAATACATTCCCAAAAGAGTATTTCATAATTTAATGTCATTTTGGAATGAGTCTAAGTATGGGCCTACAAACTATGTGCTCTTTATTTATTAATTTTTTTCAAATAGCAGTATTGAAAACATTGATCTACATTTTTTCGGGGGGAAGGTTCAAGGCAGGGTTTCTCTGTGTTACAGCCCTAGCTGTCCTGGAACTGGCTCTTATAGACCAGGCTGGCCTGAACTCAAACCCACCTACCTCTGCCTTTCAAGTGTTGGGATTAAAGGCATACAGATCTACTTTTAATTGTGAGAGAACTTCTCTTCTTCTTCTTCTTCTTCTTCTTCTTCTTCTTCTTCTTCTTCTTCTTCTTCTTCTTCTTCTTCTT